TCTTGGCAGAAAAACTGAGTTTAGCCCCTGATGTGGTCGTATATGGAGAAGAGTTATTGGGGCAGAAGCTGCCCTGGAGAAGATGGCAATGGGAAATGTAGTTCTGTGGTTCAGACAAAAGCATATTGCTTCTTTGTGCAAGAGGGGACCCTATCAGGTTTTGACGGAGGGTTTGTGAGCATCAGCTTGCCACAGCAGCTCTTAGAGATCATTTCTTCATATCCTCTTCACCTTCTCACCTTTGTCATTTCATCTTATACTTCAGTCAGTCTTTTTAGCATTTTTCACCTGTTTATTTTTCTTGTTTGTCATTCTATGTTTTGAGATACTCTGTTTTTCCATCCTTTCTTGTTCTTATACAGCACCTTCCATTCTACTTATTTCAGTTCATAGTCTAGTGCACTTTAATAAGTGGTATTGAGTATTTAATGAAACCTGTCCACCTTTGCCTTGGTGCATATCAAAGTAAGGAAGTGGAAAATAGACAGATAGGCACTGTCTAAAGATTAAGATAAAGTTACAGATACGAATAAGTGGTGTATGACAAGAAAGAATACATACAGTGATATTTACTCATCACCTAAATATACATGACCCTGGGATGGTGTGTGTTAATACTGTGCAGTCCTGTGGGTCATAAAAATATATAAAAAATACGGTTTTTACGATTTCTGGAGAGATATTAAATGGAATTTTGACAAAGGATCTAGAAGCAGAATCACCATTTCTGTTTTACTGAAATTGGTCTGAGTTCTTCTGCATGCCATGTATTTTCTTCTACCTTGTTCTTGCCTTTTCCACCTTGCCATTTTGATAAGTGGTCTTGGAATATTATTCTTCTGTCAACAGGAAACAAAGTTTTGGGATTTTTTTGTCTTTTACATGTAGAAATATTAAAGTGCGTTGTACAGTTGTATCTAAGGTGTTGATCCTTGTAACTATGACCTAACCGCAGGGGTGACTAAACTAAAATACTAATGGCTTCTGTGGGCAGTCAAAGGAAGGGGGAAGATGAGAGTTGAAGATTAGGTCAGACGGAGGTTTATATATATGGAGGAAAAAGGAGAACTGCATCAAGCAAATTCTGATTTGCTGTAAATAATACATACAAGGAATGGACCTGTAGAGAGCTACATGCATGCAAGCATGCAGTTCTGCTAAATGTCAACAATAAGAGACTGTGCATATCTTGTTCTTTACAAGCATATGTAAGCTAGAATGGAGAGGAATTGTACAGAGCTTGCTTAAGAGGATACAATGAGGAGTAATGTGATGAGGACGAGAAAGAGGGGGAATAATTTGAACTGAGTGACAGAAAATGTCTGTAAACATTTAGAGATGTGTAAATGTTAAACTCAAACAGATCCTTAATGAAATTCCACAGTATAGTTGTGGAAACCTCTACAAAACCAGGCTTTGGTAAAGCTCAAGAGAGATGCTGAGAAACCAGATGTGTCATCATGATCTCGGTTAAATCACATTTTGTCATTTCTGCTTCTATGCTACAGAAAGGAAGGGAATATATATACAGTCCAAGTAATTTCCTACTGTTAGCAGGTGCTAGGATTTTGACAATGCCTGTTTCTTCCCTTTGAAACATTACCTGACAGGCACTGAGTAGCAGGGCATGTATAAGATACCTGGTCCCCTTAAAAGGCTGGCTGCAAGTGGGTGATCAGTTTTTGTTTACAGTAAAAGGTATGGCTGGGTAATTTGTGTGGTAATTCCAGGCAGTTCCTTTGGCTTCACTGGAGACAGGTGAGTGTTCTGTTAACATCCTAAAGAATTCTTTCTTCATGCTTCTCGTCTCAGCCGCCTTCATCTTTATCTGAGGTAATGTAATTGAGTGCCTGAAGTCACCAAATCTACGCTCTTCTGCTTCCATTTGACTTTTCTGACCACTCCTATTCCTCCAGGTGTCTCTTGAGGTCTGTGGGTGTGTTGGGTATCTCTCTCTAAGGTGCCTCTCTTGCGCGCTGAAGGAGTTTCAGGGAGGCCAACTTTCTTAAACAGCAACATATATTGAATGGCTTCTTTTTGTGTTTGTTTTTGTTTGGGTTTTTTCTTCTTCTTCCTCAAGATCATTAGGAGTGAACTTGAGATGAGCTGCCCTCGATTTATAGTGACAGTTCATACTAACAAGACCCTGCTTCCTCCATCACGTGGCCTGTCTCATCCATGCCCCCTCCCTTCAGTTCCTTCAGCAGCTTTTCACTTTAGCATGGCTTATTGCTGTTGTTGTATTATAACAATTATTATGATTACTATTAGTATTATACAAGCAGAGATGGACATTTCAGGATCTTATGTTCTGAAAGAGACAAGGAGAGAACAGGAGAGCATGAATGGTGTAAAAAGGCAAACTGGAGAAAGATATATTTCAGAATAAATGGCTGTAGCAAAAATTTTCTCTCCATTGAATTAAAGGTGAACAAAGACCCTCCAGCCCTGGCAGTTCCTGAGTATTCTGCTTACTCATACATCAGTCAGAGTCCTCTTGCTTCTTCCAGTTGCTAATCCAAAAAATCTTCCTCCCCACCCTCTGTCCCTTTGCTAGAGGTAATATTCTGTGCTGAACAGCTCTGCTTTTCTCTTTCTTTTTCCCCTGCTACCTATTCGCTCTTCATCTTTGTCTCCAAAACATTGTTCATCTAAGAGTTTGCTTACCCATAACAGTCTGCTAGCCCTGCTTCAAAGTATGATAGGATCCTTTGGTTACACAATCACATTTTTCTGTGGTAGCCTGATCATGATGTTCCTACTGTTCAGCAATTGTGTTTCTGAAGACAGAATATGAAAGGTTGTCATCGAAAAACTTCCTTTAATATAGTAAGACTTAACCTTCTATAGCACAAGGCATATGAAACCTGTTTGGATAGTAATAATAAAACCTGTTTGGATAGTAATAGTATGACATGCAAGTATGATATACAAATTACCAGAAGAAAAAACTGTCCAGAGGTGAGACAAGGGAGAAGGGAATTGCTTTCAGCTCAGGTTTGAAGTGCTGAGGGTGAATATCTAAAGAAGTATCAGGATATTTAGAAAGATGTTGGGCAGCTATTCCAGATAGCATGAACTGCATGAGGAAAGGCTATTATGTAATTGTAGCAGAATTATACTTCTTCACGGGGGGGAACCTTACACAAAGAAAGCCATATTCTTTAAAAATGCCAAACCCAACCATACCATAAAAAAAAAATAAACTGTCTAAAATTTTAATGATTATTTTAACATCTTCAGGTGTGCTTATTAGGGTAAACAAATACCTCTTCTCATGTCTCAGGACAGAAGTCAGGTTTTCATTTAAAGGATTGTGAAAATACTTTCTCTGAACAGCTGTAACTACCTGTCCATTTTTTTCCTATACCTTCCACTGAAGCATGTAGTAATGTCTGTTGCCAGAGACACACTACTGAACTTATTCATTCAGGCAGTTGTTACATTCCTAGAAAGAAGAGGAAGAGAGAAAGACAGTGGAGACTCAAATGTTGGAGCAAATCTATGCAGACTTTTAAAAGTAGATTTATTTTTTTAACTGCATCCAGACATTATGAGCCAAAAATGTGTCCTTGTGGCAAAGAAGGCCAATGGTATCCTGGGGGGCATTAAGAAGAGCTTGGCCAGCAGGTCGAGGGAGATTCTCTTCCCCCTCTATTCTGCTCTGGGGAGGCCACATTGGGAGTACTGTGCCCAGTTCTGGGCTCCCTAGTTCAAGAGAGTCAAAGAACTATTGGAGGGAGTCCAGCAGAGGCCTACAAAGATGATTAGGGGGCTGGAGCATCTCTGAGGAAAGGCTAAGAGACCTGGGTCTGTTTAGCCTGGAGAAGAAGAGCCTGAGAGGGAATCTTATCAATGCTTGTAAATATCTAAAGGGCGGGTGTCAAGAGAAGGGGGTCAGACTCTTTTCAGTGAGAAGGGGAATGGGCACAAACTGGAACACAGAAAGTTCCATCTGAACATGAGGAAAAATTTCTTTACTTTCAGGGTGACAGAGCACTGGAACAGGCTGCCCAGAGAGGTTGTGGAGTCTCCTTCTCTGGAGATATTCAAAACCCACCTGGGTGTGATCCTGTGCAACCTGCTTTAGGTAAACCTGCTTTAGCAGGGAGTTATGGACTAGTTGATCTCCAGAGGCCCCTTCCAACCCCTGCCATTCTGTGATTCTGTGAGTATGAGAGCTAATGGAGATATGTGAGTATAAAGGTTATGTGACCAGGTTGCCTTGTACCTGTAGCAGCCATCTACATCAGTTGGATTCAGAGCAGTGCGACCTGGCAATACTGAAAATCTGTAGAACTGCAGAAATGAAAGCTACACAGTCTGAAGACTTGTGTAAGAGGCTGAACAGGGACAAGGACAGTTATGGGTGGTGCCAGGAAATTTAAGAGAACCTGACAGAAGATTTGCAGGTGAAATTGTGTGAGACAAGGAAAATATTTAAAAGCCAAGTATCATTATGAGATTATGAAGGGAAATGGATGAGTTGCTTGAAGATGTTTGCTTTTCGAGACAAGAGTCCAGTAGACTTAATTGGCAAGAGCAGGGACTCGGGCAACACATTTTCTTAATCAAAACAGGAAAGGAATAAAAATAGCTGTCAACAGCTACGTACTACTGTGTTTTGCCAGGCTAAAACCAGCAGGTAAAGCAAGTGGAGTGTGAGCTCTCTGTTCATTGTCCTCCAAATGAACATTATTTTTCAAGGTAACAAGCTGTTTGTTTATTTACAGTCTAATTGCCAACTCTGAGCACTCACAGAAGGTCCCTAAGAATTTAAATGTATTGTCTTCTTCTTATATAGGAACAGCA